TAGGGCTTGCCTGGGTGTGTCCTTGATGGAGATCACCATACTGGCCAGGGTCACACAGTCATGAGTCAGGCCCTGACTGCCTTGATTGGAAGACCCTGGACCAATCCTCTGTCCAACATAATGTCTGTGTCCCAATCACGGTCCTCCTGCTGCGGCAGTCCCACCTGCAACTGTGATGGATTCATCATCCACCAATCATGCTTTTGTGAGTCTTTCCTTTGCCCTCCCATGTCCTTCGTAAGTGTCTGAAGCCCTGGGAAGCCCTGGACATCATGGGTCTTTTGTCTCTGTATCTTTCCCAGTGTAAAAGCTCAACTCTCCTGATCCCAACTCACAGTGAACTCACAGGACAAGGCAGAGTTGCCTCTGTGGGTATCCGAGACTGTAACTGTTAATGGGAGTAGAAAGCCCGGTCTTTCCCACAAGGAGAAGCTAGGGGTTTTGAACTGCTGACCTTGCAGTTACCTTACAACAGTTTTGAGGTCTGAATAAACACACGAGAGTCCCCGGGAAACCATAAGCCACCATACAAACAGCCATCCAGTAATGAGGTGTCTGTCCTTCTGACTGGCGTCCCCTCTTTAATTCAAGTCCTTTTCATTAAAAAGGAAAAAAGAAACGCATCTATCCCTTTACCCTCTCTTCTAACTCTTTTTGTCCCAATCCAACAGCTCTTGACATAGAGCTCACTGTCCCGACTCCCTGGCCTAACTTTCCTCCTCAGCCTGGTACCTCTGGCTCCCAACCTCCTGATTTCTCCAAAGAGGCTCTGACTCATCCCCAAAGCCCATTCACCCTGTCATCCGGCCTTGCTACCTCTCTATATGGCACGTGACGCTTTTGCCTCTCCCTCCCCCACCCCTGCCGCGTTGTGACATTTGTCGCTGCTTGGCTTCACAAACACACTCTCTTGGTGCCCTTCTCACTTCTCTTCGTCCATGTAGCAGTGACATCATCTCCTGCCAACCTGCAGAGGGGTGGAGTCTAGCCTGTCCATCAGGTCGCAGCTTGATGACCTCATTTGAAGGAGTGATGGAGATAAAGAGCTCACTGGAGGCCCGATACAGATACTCCCTGTTGAAACATTCCTGTTGACAAGCCATGTGGAGCTACCCTGATAGAGCCAGAGCCCTGGAGCTGGAGGAACCAGTTGGAGACCCACGCCAGCAGTGGATGCTTTCACCACCACTGGATCCACAAGCCT